GAGGAACGACAGCACCGGACACACCCTCATGAGTGCTGTCCCCTTCAAAGGACTCTTCTTGGAGGGCTGCACTGATCTTCTCTTGGCTCCCGACGTGTTCAGACTCCTCTCAGGAAGCCGCTCCCAAGCGGGTTTACCAGTGCCCTCCAAATTTATCTTTTAACTTGATAGTTACACCTCGGACCCCTACACAAGCAGAACCTAGAGAATAAGGAAGCTCAGGAAAAATTGGCGACCTGGATGGTGTAAGTAAAGAGTGCGTGTAAGTGTGTAAGACTGAGCATGGACACATTCGGTACAGGCACTAGACATGAACCTAATAAATATACCACCGTATAAATGCCCCCTATTGTGGCATTGTTATGTTCACGCTCACAGGGGCATTCAGATGTGACAGCCTGGTCACACTCGAACGTAAATAACGCAGACTCAGACTTAGTCAATATACACACAGCACAACCAGGGACTGAAGCATCAAACAGGCTTAGAGAGAAACACACTCACGTGTGTATCAGACACATATCACATACATTCACACTCAGACACATTTATCGCACTATACAATGCTGACATTATATTTAGCAGGTTGAGCCGGATTCCCCGCTGTGCCAAGGGCAGCATAAACCATGGTAAGGCCTGACGTAAGCCGAAGGAAGGAAAGGAAAGGAAAAGAAAAAAAGAAAGACAGTTCTTTCTGAAAAGACTTCTCTCTTTTTCTCTCCTCCTCTGCTCTGTTCCGGCTCTGAATCTCACCTGAGCCCCAGGAAGAATCTACAATCCTCAAAAAACACAGAGATTGATGCTCTCATTGATCCGCAAATGCCCGGGTCAAAACCCCCAGGGTTGCACTGTGGATTTTTGTCCAGGTTTTGTCAGAGAGATTAAAAACAAAACAAACAACCCCCCAAAACAAACAACCCCCCCAAAGAAACAAAAAAAAAACCCCAGTGAACTTCAGCCAGAGCTGACGAGCAATTCATCAATATTCGATGAATTTGATCTGCATAGAAAAGCTCATTTAGAGCAAAGGGGAAAGCCCAGCCGGGACTTCCATTCCTTTAGCTCAGCGTTTGTTTCCACAATCACTTCGATTATCCCAATAATTAAAGATTTCATTTTGTCTGTTTAGACCGCCGATAACCCAGACTGTTGGAGACTTAGAACTTGAGCCGCAGCTTGGGATCTGGATGTCTGGGATGAGATAACTAAGGGCCTGCCTGTTCCTGTTCCTGATCCTGACAATGACCCTGTCCTTGTCCTCTGCCACAGCTGTTTCTCTTTCTCTCTCCCCCTCATTTGCTTGCTCTCGATCTCTCTATATTTCTCTCCATCCTCATCCCAGTTTCTGTTCTTGACTTTCACTCTTTTCTCTTTTGTCTCTCTTTCTGTCTCTGTCTTTCCCTTTCCTTTACCAATCCCTGGACTCGTCCACGTTCCTGACCTCCATTCCCAACTATTGCATTTTCCCACCCACTTTGTAACCAAGGCCTCCCCATACTCCCGGATGCTGCGACCGAACTCTCTCTATCCGGGATTTGATCATCTCAGGTTTCGGATATTGAATCAGTAACGAAATCCTGGAGGGGGCGTGGAAATGCTGGTCGGTTCCCTAGTCCCTGGGTGCGGAGCGTTCACTTGGATATGCACTAATCGAAATAAGTTCGCCCCAGCCTCCGTACTCTAGACACCTTGGACCGTGAAAGATGGCTGATGGGACCAGGCCAAAGAGCTTGGGAGAGGTTTCGCAGAGACACCCGGGGCCAAACCCGTGATTTCAGAGAGATCAAAACTGAGGAACTGATTCCTATTAGGGAAGGGAAAACGGGAAATTCTCACTCAGTCAAGTATAGTGTGTCCTGCCTCAGGAGAAACGCTGGGAAGATTACCCTAAGTGTAATTTTTTACACTTTCTCTGACCCGGAGAATGTGCCTTGCCAGCTCACTGGCCCAAAGGATGTAAACTTCTTGTAACAGCTCTAATGTGCCCATTACTGCAGCCTGGGGATACCACCCTCCCAGGTGTGAGGAATTGTGCACGGTGATTTACGTCCAGGTCTGAATTCGGCTAAGTTAGTGTGTATATGGAGGGGGAAAGAGAAGGGAGGTTGTGTAGATCTAGGTATGTATCTATATGGATCTGTGTGTGTGTGTGTGTGTTTTGTGCATGTGGTTTTATGCCTGTGGGGGGTGGGGCGGAGGGGAGAGCTGTTTCTTGGTGAGCATTGGCTGTGTTAAGAGTGATTTGGAAATAACATTTTTTAAAGGAAGGTTTCGTGTATTAACAGTTGTGTGCGTGTTCATAAGTATAAGTTTGTATTCGAAGAGCATTATGTATGTAGATCTGAGTGAGGGTTCTATAGATGCCTGTGTTTGGGGGACGGTTACGAGTTTTTGTGCATGACTAGTGTATGGTGATGAGAGGAGAATAGAAACTGGTCTCGACTTCTTGAGGCTTGTCCAGACGGGATAAAATTCAGTCTAGAAAAAGACCTGGACTTCGGGGTCCTCTAGCCTCTCCGACCCTAAAGCCCTCTGCTAGGACAATGTGGGTGCACTTACTCTGGAGTATACACTCTTGGGGGTTGGGCAAAGAAACGCATTAATCTCCTACCTCTGGGTTAATGGAGGACAAGTTTGAGAGTTGACAAAGGAGGCGCCAGAATCTGGGAGAGTGAAGCTGGGTAGCTAGGGAGGGGTAACTTCGGTACAGGGGGAGGAAGGAAAGGACTGCTTTTTTTTTTTTTGCTGTGAGACAGAAAACGCCTACGGCGAACCACAGAGAAGACTAGAAGAAGAGCACATAGCTGCCCCAACGAGCCCTAGGGAAAGAGCAGAAAGAAGCCCCAGGGGATATAGGCCTTCAAAGAGTGGACTGTCTAGCATCAGAGCGTGCTTGTTACTCCGCAGTGTGTCAACCTGGAATCAGTCTACACTCCCACCTCGGGGACAATAGGTGGAAGCACAGGATTGCACCCGAGAACCCCCAAAAAGAGGTCTAAAAAATCCAACACCAAAGAGGTAGAAAATAGCGCAGAGACCAATCCCTTTCCCATTTCCTATCTCCTAGAGAACCTCCTAATTAGAAGAGTAGTGTGGGGCGGGGGAGGGTGTGAAAACAGCACTAGGAGGACAGAGAAACGTCTGGGCGCGATTGAATAAGGGAGGACTCTTTTCGAGGTGACGAAACGGTGTCTTTCAGATAGGTCAGGTACCAAAGTTTGATTCAGCTACCCCAAGATCCCCGGCCCCAAGCATATTCCTGGGAGTCAAAATTACTGCTCAGTCTGTTCCCTGACCAACCATAGCCCGGGGGATCCCCAATCCTGGTCTTGGATGAGGGAAGGGCAATTAGATTCAGGTGGATTAAGCTTGCCCAGTTCCTAAATTTGTGGGGGGGGGTGGGAAGGGCAGGCTACAGAGGATTGTCTGTAATAACTGCTAACATCCCATCAAAAGCTTTGGCCGGAGCAGTGAAAAACAAAGTATAGCAGGAGCCTGGTTGGATTTCACCAAAAGTGGGTAGTGTTCATGGACTTCATTTTCTGCTCTCTATACTCCCCCAAGCAGCTCCAGTGGGAACTGGAGATGGTCCAGGGTCGTATTGGACATGCCCATAACAAAACTGTGGTCAGGCAGAGACCTCTCTCCCTCACTTTGGCCTAGATTGTCCCAACGGGGGAAGGATAGGCCTGCCTTCAGTCTCAGGCCTAAACTACCAGTACAGACACATGTACACACACACACACACACACACACACACACACACACATTTTGCCCACTAGAAAATGGAAACTCAGTCGCAGACAGAGAATAGGGACTCAATAAGGTACAGGCCTCTTTTCTCACTTCCATTTGAGCTTTCTGCCTCTTGCTCCTCCCTCACTTTCTCTACATTTTCACTCAGTTATTAGGGTTAAAGATTTAGAGATAAAAGAGACCTTACAGTCCACCTGTCCAGCCCTCTGGACTGAGGCCCATAGAGAGAAGGTGGCTTGCGTAAGATCACATGGGTAGTAAGTAACAGAAGAACAATTCAAACCCAGGTCCTCTGAATCCAAATTCAGGTCTTTCAGGTGCACCTTTTAACTCCTGCTTTTCAACCATGGCTGAGGACTTTATACAAATAAGCAAAACAATTTTTTTTTGTCTTTCAATGTCTCCTTGGTTTCCCTAGTTATCAACTAGCCAAAGTACCAAGTGGTGTATGTGGGTGAGTGAATGAGCACAGCACACAATAAGCATTTAATGAATGATCATTGACTTGACTGGTTGAGGGTGAGGTTTGTGCACAGCCATGGAAGTTAACGTGTGAATAAATGTGTTTATAAGTGTCGGGTGTTTGAGGAGTTTCAGTATGAACGTGTGTGAAAGTGTGAGTATGAGAGAGTGGAAGTATATGTGGATGTTGTGTTTGTGTGAGTGAGAGGGCAAATGTTCGAGTTCTCCCAAGGGTGCATGAGTTTGCTGGTGCTGGGTTCCTGCTTGAGTCTCTCTAATTCCTTCTCCACATTTTCCCTTATTTCCCTATCCTAGAAGATCAAATTCTCTTTCCCCCACATCCTCCCCCCACTTCATCGACCTCTCTGTAGATTCTCACACTTAAAAATAAATTAAACCTAAATTGAGGGGAATTCCCTTTCATTTTGAACCTCTTTCTGAGCTTAGGCTCGGCACCAGGAGTGGCAAACATGATGGACCCACGAAAAATGCTGGAGAGATAAAGGACCAAGTGGTAAGTAGCCAAATTCCCCGATTAATTTGTGTGCAAACATGAATGCTTCAACAGAACGATATTTCGGGTCTGCTTACACAATTACAAGTAAACACTTTGCACAGGAGAGACGCTGAAAAGGCTCTCTTGACCCTTTCAACCGGAGTCTTCGGCTGTCCCATCCCTTCTGGATGGGGGAAATTCTCATTTAGCTCTCTGGAGGCTAGTCTTTCAGGCCGGGTCACCCCTGGAAAGGCAGCGTAAGGAAAAGGAATTGGGCCACCTACCGCAAGGTTCCGGATCCGGACGATTTTATTCATATTTTCCACATAAATTACACAAGCACTTTATAAAATGGTTACAGGGAAAACACCTTATAAGTGCATAACTTAAAACCCCCCAAAGACGGATGCAAAGCTAACCTCCCCAAACAGGCTCCATGTATGACTGTCCTTTACAATCTGTATACAAGACTGTTGGTTGTTCGAGATTGCGCGGACACTGTGTTCGAGGGACACTGTGTGGGACTGTATTTGTGTGTGTTTGGGGGGGGGGTGTAGAATTGTGCTTGCCTGCTACTGAGTGTTCGGAATTGTATGAGTGACTGTGAATGATGGGAGCAAACAGGAATTGTGGGCATTACTGAGTGTCACTGGGATCTGTATAAAGCTGTGTGAACGCTGGCACTTCGATTGTTGTGTGCTCCTGCCAGTGATACTGTGGGCACCCAAGTGCATTATGAAACTTCGTGACTGTGGGTGACTATGCAGCTGCTGTGTGTGGCGTGGTTGTCCACGAGTGACTGTGACAGTGTTTCTGGGTTTCAGTAGGGCTGAATCTACAGGGGATCGACCCGCTCCTTGGGGGACCCCTTCAGAACGCTCTCGATCCTAGAAGCTCCAATTTTCCTCTCTCCTCCTCCACTTCCTCGGCCTCCCTCTAGATTCCCAAATTTTAAAATAAAATAAAATAAAATAAACGGAAATTGAGCAGAATCTGAAAAGTACCAGCTGAACCGAGGGTCAGGGAGGGGTAAGCTGCCCGGGACTAGAGGCTCCAGTTAGGTCCCCAGGCCCCTTCTTATCGAAGTTCCTATTCTATTTCCAATTTCTTCTTTTCCACTGAAAATAAAGCCGGGGATAGGGGTGGGGTTTCTCACCCGGACTGCACTGGTACCGGACCTCGGAGAGCAGAGGCAGGTAGCTGGCTGGCTGGCTTTCTACGAGTTTCACTTTGTGTCCGGTTACTGAGGGGGAGAGGGAGGGGCAGGGAGAACTGGCTCGTGATCCGTGAAAGGGGCTGGGGCAGGGGGAAGGGTCCTCACTCTTTCCTCTGTGCAAAGCCCTCGGGAACCTCCCCTACTCCTTTCCAGGCAGAGCCCCCGACTTCGGGCCTTCTCCCGAGGCTGAGTGCGGGGTGCAATGCGAGGACTCAGGGTGGGGAGGTCGCTCCTCTCTCTCGCAACCCCAAAGTCTGGGCTCCCACTTCTCTGGCGGGGGTCCTGGAGGGGCTAAGGATCTGAGAGGCTGGGGAGGGGACAGAGAAACCGAGCGGGGTGGGCCCCGGTAGGAAGGGGGGGTCACTCGCAGGCTGAGGCCACTGACGTGACGCTGGTGATCTTAGCCGTGTCGTCGGACCAGGGCTGCAGGTTCTGCAGGGCGAAGAGTGATGAATTGTGCACGCAGAGAGGATCAGCCTGTAGCGGCTGAGCCAAGCTCTTCTGGAAGGCCTCCTGCTGCAGCTGCATAAGGATGCGGTTAGCCTGCTGCCTCTCCGCCTCCCGCTCCTCCGCGGTCTGCCGCCTGTACGGGGACAAGCCGCCTCAGAGCAAGCCACTGTTCGCAACCCAGGGTGGCCTCTTCCCCCTTAGCCCTGGGATCCCCAGTACCTTGAGGCAGAGAAACTGCTGCTTCCAAGAACACCAGTTTCCTAGCTCTAGAAAAGGGATACCAGGGGAACCCTCGCCACAGTCCCAAGGGTATCTCAGACCCCCCGTCCCACCCCGCCACTGAAGTACTAAGAAGGAAGGCTGGGGAACTTGGCGGTGGAGGAAAAATAACCTCTTTGTTATATTCCTAGCTCCTTTCTAGCCCCAGCGCCAGACCAAACACCAGCTTAAGTGCGGGGTCTCGGGCTATTTCTGGAAAACTGCTCTGAAATTGTGTGCGTGTATATTTGTGTTGAAGGATGCGGAGAGTTGACGCGCAAAAAAGAAGTTTGGCCCCTCAGTAAGTGGCCTTTAACCGCCTTCCTCTCAGACTACGCAGTCTAGGAATGAAACTAGCAATCACCTTAAGGGCCCCTGCACTCTAATTCTCTGGCTGCCCTGGCTACATAGAAGAAGATCTGGAGAGACCCTGGTCCTCTTATTAGCCGAGACGGGGCTTTCTCGAAAACTCACCTAGCAAATATCCTCTAAGTCCTTTCCCGCATTGCTTGGAAGCTTCTGGGGACAAGGACAGAGCGGACAGGTGGCCCAACAAAGCCTTAGAGACATAAACGAATTTAGCTCGATTGGGAGCGAAGGGAAGTGAGTGTCTCAGAGAGGCAGAGACTCAGAAACAACAAACTTCCAATGAGTAGCCTGGAGTTGCAAACTAGCTTTCTTCCTTTTACCCCCATCCCCCAGCTTCCCGCTTCCAGAGCAAGTCTCGCGCTGGAGAAAAGGGATTGGATCCCAATCGCTTGAGCTCTCAACCCTGAGTCCCAGAGCTCCCTAACTCCTTGAGCTGAGACGGTTCCTCCCTCTCATTAGCCCTGTGCCGAGCTCCCAGTAAGGCCCGTCCGGTTTCCATGAAGCTAGTAAGAGGAGGCGATGAGTCACATATTCCATCTAATGCAACCTCCCTCCACCCCTCACCCCTCCTGTAAACTGAGATCAAACGTCTGTCTCTAAGGTGAAAGGATCTAATGTGAGTCCCCGGAGCCTCCAGGAGCAATTTGTAGCAGATCGATTTAAAAAGCAGAAAGCAAACGAGGATCCCTCTTGGTCTGCTTTCTTCTTCCTATCTTTTTGTAATTTCTTTCTCTCCTCTCTTCCTTTCTCTTCCTTCCTTTTTTCCCCTGCTTTGTATTTCAATGTGTCTAGATTTCTTTTTTTTCTTGATTTTTCTTCTTTCCCTCATTTCCTGTGTCTCTGGGATTTTTTTTTCTTCCCAAGAATTAAGTGTTTTCGTTCCAAACGGAAAAAAAAAAAGTTTGGTATCTTTGTTTTTCTTCATTAGAAATAAGATCAGCTTAATTCTCTGTTTTTTTTTTCCTTCCTGGGGATCTGTTTCTTTCTCCCTTGTCTCTCGTCTCTCCCTGTCTAAATATTCACATCTTTCCCTGTCTCTGTCTCTCTTCGCTCTGTCTCTTTCCTTACCCCTTTTCTCCAAATCCTCAGTTGGGCTTTTGTGAGCCCAGCATTCCGGCTGGTTTGTCATTCCCACCCCCCACTCCTTCCCAGAAAATGCCTTCCTTGTTCGCTCCTTAATGACTCCTGGAAGCCTCCTCCCCCATCTCCGACTGCCTGGAATGCACGACTGCGGAAAAGTCGACCCCACGGGGGCTGCGTGTCTTCTTTGTGGACACGACAGCAGAATCCCAGGCAGATTCAGCTTCTTCATTCAGAAAAAGAGGAAACTGCAATTCCTTCCTCTGCCCAGCCGGCCCGACCGGGCTCGGCGCCTCCCTCTGACTCCATTCACATTAGCTGCCGCTCCCCAGGGGCTCTGAAAGAACGGGCGTGAGAATGTGTGTGTTAGTGAGTGTAGTGTGGTGTAATGTAGTGTATAGTTCAGTGACTTCAGATTTGTGTGAGTAGAAGTGGAGGTTGGGCATGGAGAGGCCAGACAGACAGTGAGACAGAAGAGAGACAAAGACAGACAGAGACAAGAGGACAGATTTTGTCATTCTGTGAGGGGTCCAGTTTGTGAGAGAAACTGAGCAAGTCTGTACCTGTGTGTGAGGAAGTGTGCCAGGGTTTGTGGATGGACAGACTTTGTGAGTCCTCCAGAGTTGAAAGTGCGTGTGTGACAGAAGGAGCAAATGTCTCCCCAGCTCCCTCGATAGCTGTCTCCCGTTCTCTCTTAGACACATCCATCTGTTCTTAATTGATCATTCTCAACCCCGATTCTGACGGATTGATTTTCCATCTCTAGGGTAGGGCAGCAGAGTCGGTCACTGCCTCAGGCGGGTTAGGACTTACAGAGGAAAATGGTCTCTGGTAACCAAGCCATCGAATGAAGCTCTCTCTTTCTAACCTGCTCCCCACCACAGGCAGAGATTGTTACTGAGATTGGGTTGTTAGGCGGGAGTTTTAGATGATGGGTCTTGGTTGGGTCAGGTAGCTCAGGAGAAGAGAATTCTTTTAGCCGCTACCCGAGAGTGTCTGAAACACTTTCACCAGAGCCCAACTCCACTGTGGAGCCATGGGTACAGAGCCCCAAGGGAAACCTTACTGTTTTCTTCTTTCTGACCTTCATTCCCTTGTCAAATTAATATCCCACTTAGGCTATCTGCTCAGTCTCTCGGTAGTACCCAGAACCTCCACCGAAGCTTGGCTACTCTTTGCAGCTCCTGAAAGACTCCAGGGTGACCCGAGGTTGCCTAGGCTCCCATCTGAGGGACCTGGCTGCAGAGGCAATAGAAGAAAGTCGCAGAGGCTTACTTTCCCATCCCAATGCCGGAATCCCCAGGCCATCTATTTCACTCACACTTCCGCCCAGCCCCGAGCCGTGGGGAAAGAAGGCTATGGCGGAGTCAGATTGCCACGTGTTAGGTGGATTGATTCTGAGACATTTGCTATCCACCGCCAGATTGCACTTCCCAAAGAAGCTTCCTCAGAGACATTCAAACTCCGAGTCACTACCCTCCCGAAAGACACACACACACACACACACACACACACACACACACACACTCTTCGGTATACTGAATAGACCCATACATGGTCATGTTTGGTTCAAAAGTGGACATTATAGTGGACGTATACGTCACCCAAATGACCTAACACGGTTTGCCGAATTCAGGGATACAGAGATTTGGGGTGGGGAGAGCGGTGACAGGGAAGAGACCAATCATTTGTCAACACAAAGCGGGTCATTCCTGGCTGCCGGAGGTGAGTCAGGATAGCCAGGCCTTGAGCCCTCAGTTTGATCCGAAATGACTTCCCTGAGTCTCACCACGGCGCACATACGGACCTTCGCATCTCGGGGTTGGGAGTTGAAGGGAGAAAGGGTGGACTGAAACAGACAGCTTAAGAGAACCAGCTCTAGCCAACCAGGCCGTTCACCCGCCCTTGTGGAGTTCCCGGTTTCCTGCAGACTCACCTCCATTTCGTTCTTCGATTCTGGAACCAAGTTTTGACCTGCGCGTCGGTCATTTTGAGCGCCTTGGCGAGGGCCGCGCGCTCGGCTGACGCCAAGTACTTTTGGCGATGAAAGCGCTTCTCCAGCTCGCAGATCTGAAGACGTGTGAAGGATGTGCGCGGTTTCTTCTTCTTCGGGGGCGTCCGGTTCTGGTAGGGGTGACCTATACGGCGTGTTACAGTGAAGGGTGAGAGGGCCACTGGAGCGGGAGACAGACAGACGGCAGAAGCAAGCGGCACAGCGTCAGGAGGCGTCCACGGCAAAGGCACACACCGCAGCCGAGCCGTAGTGACCCGGAGCTGAGGAGCGAGCAGGCCCGGAGAACGGGAGCAGTGGGAAGCTAAGCTCAGGCCTGGCAACAAAGCTTCCTGTCTGGAATTCTTTCAGATCTGCCTGGAAACCCTTCCTCAATCCCCCTTGCCACCATTGACTTTAGCCCTCGCCTCCCATCCCTTTCTACAGATATCTAAGCCCCTGGTCTGTGTCAGTTTTCTCTCTCAGTGGGAGAGTGGGGGGTGTGTGTGAAATGGGGGTGAGGGAGCTGAAGGAGTCCCACCACTCCGGTATCCTTCTGAGCTGAACATTCGAGTAGGATAAGTCTCCCTAGCAAATGCCAATATTTGGTGCTGAGGGGGGCCTGTGGTCAGACAAACAGGGCAAAGATTCTAAAGGTTCAGATACAGTTGGCATGCATAAGCATATTCTCACACAACATACACATATAATCACATCATCACACACAGATACAAATATGTGTGTCAATTCAAATATACACTACACACAAACCTGCAAGCCACACATAATTCTTACACAAGTACACAATTAATTCTCACAACATACTTAAACACATGCTCACATGCACACTCTTACTCCATATACTCATTCATTTAGACACTCATAATTCTCTGAGAACAAAATCCTTTAAAGGGGTGTTCCTAGGGAGGTTGGTAGGTAATGAGTAATGCCTACCTGGGCCTAGCTGGGTATGCTTAGGCCTTAGGGCCCTACTGGAGAGGGAAGTCTGGTGTAGTAGGGATCAACCTCACAAGGTTCTGGAGAAGGGAAAGGAGGAAGCACAGCTCTGATCCTGGGAGTCCTCAACCCACCTGGGCCCTTTTCTTGGAGATCTAGAGCCTCTCCCTGAAGGCCTTGCTCATGTAAATTCCAGGTTAGCTGGGCTCTGTCCTAGCCTCCATGCCCTCTCCAGAGTCAGGGGCATTGTGTCACTACGACTTCTCAGAACTCTGAGAATTTCCAGAGATCTCCTTGAAACTTTTAGTGGATCTGCAGGAGGAGCAAACCGGGAACTCAGAGCCCCAAGATGAACCTCCAGCTCTCTAAGAAGAGAAAGAAACTGAGTCTACCTGTTGGAGCTCCTGCTTCTAGGGGTGAGGGGCAATCTCTCTTTGGAATTGAGGAACAGCCACTTCCCCTTCCCCTATGTTATTTGGGGATCAGAGTCCTTCATTTCCAAAATTACCCGGGGGGGCACTTCTGCCTGAGAGACTTGGATCCGCAGCTCTTGCTCCCTCCTGGCCCTAACCCTGTTTTGGAACCTTCATTGCAAGCGGGGACTGGTTTCCTCCTCCTCCAGGGCCCCTCAGAATTCGGGCTCTGGCTCTGAATTCAGGTTGGAAAATGAACCGTGGGCTGTGTGTGTATGTGCAGGCTCAAGAGTGTGTGTGTTGGGGGAAGGTTAGGCCAGGGGCCCTGGGGAGGGGAGCAGCCCCGGAAAATGGGGGCGGGGGAAGATGTAAGAGGAGAGAAGAGAGGAAAGGAGGAGAAAGAAATGAGTCTGTGTAATCGTCCCCGGAGTCGCACTCAGGGCTGCTGGATCGATGGCCCGGTCAGGGTCGGTGCATTATTCATAGAGCAGGGGGTCGGGGAGGAGTGGAGGCAAGCCCGGGCTGAGACCAAAAATAAAACAAGGCCGAGGGGTGGGGGTGGGGGTGGCTTATACCCAAGCAGACGGAATCCAAGCCTTGTCTGCCCCTCCCCCAGGTTTTCGGCCAGGGGACTTCCCAGAGGTGGTTGCCCCCACCCCACACGCCTCAAGTCCTCCAGCTCGGGTGGGCTCTGCTCTGAGGCAGCGTGAGAGTAAGCTCCGAGCTCCGCTCACCTGGGGTTCGTTTCAATTCATTATTTTGTTCTAAGGTTAATACAAAGGTCTACATTTGCCCACCTTCTGCCCTGAGAGAGCAGGAGCGGGTGGGAGAACAAACCCACTGAGTACAAAGTGCCCCCTTTCCAGCGTCCCCTCTCCCCGCCTCGTCCCCTACCCGAGCACCTAGGTTCTACTTTCTCCTTCTCTGCCCAGGGAAAATGATCCCGCAGATCTAGACCTTCATGCTCCCCTCTTCTCGATTCCCCGGCTGGGGCCGAGCAAGCCAGAAACCAGAGGAGAAGAAGCAAAGCAGGACCAGGGCTAGGGGGTGCAGAGGTCGAAGAGAGGAAGTGGGATATCTCCTGGGGAAGGGGCCGGCTGGGCTGGGTCGAGGCTGGGAGAAAAGAAAGCGGAAAGGGAATCACGGGCCGGGGTGGGGGAGAGAAGTTGACCAGGGATAAATCAGGAGGCGCAGAGGAGCAGGAACCCGAACAGAGGGTGGGGGCAGAGGCGGAGGCGGACACGAGTCTGGGCTCACCTGTGAACCTGTCCTTTGTGTATCGCCGGTTACTCTCCATCCAGGGGAAAGTGAGTCCTGTGAGGTTGTTGACACTGGGTACGGCGGGTACGGTGGGCATGCCGGTGGCGAGGGGCTGGTGGTGAGGAACGGCTCCGGCCAGAGGCCTGTGGGCAGGCACCCGAATCACCCCGGCGGAGCTGAGAGCGCTACCGCTCCCGCCGCTCCCGGTGCCCATGGCCATGTTCATATTGTAGGAGCCGGCCAGCGAGGCCATACTGCAGGCACTGCCGCCGCCGCCTCCATAGCCCCCCGCGCCGCCACCACCGCCTGCTCCGGCTCCCGCCCCAGGCCCGGGGCCCGGGCCAGCCCCGCCGCCACCACTGCCTCCGCCGGCTCCCCCATAACTCCCGGTCATGGTGTTGTAGGCGCTGCTAACTATGCAACCGAGCCCATAGTCTGCGTCCTGCAGGCGCGAGGCGGACACCATGCAGCTGCCCTGGTCCGGGCTGTTGAGGATCTGATCAATGCCGAAACTGATGGGCTCGGCGTGGCCTGGGTGGAGGTGGTGCGGGGCCAGGTGTTCCATGTCCCCCGGCGCGCCGGGGCCCCGGCCCCGCTAGGGGCCCGGCGACACAGGCACCGAAGAGCCGCCGGAGGTGCTGAGCTCCTCTGGGTTGGCGGCGCAGGGCTGGGCTGGGCGGGCCCGGGGGCAGGAGCGGCGTAGTGGGGCGCGGGGCGCAGCGTGGCTGCGGAGGCGGGAGCAGCCGGCACCAGCTTCGGGTTCTCTCCCTGCGCTCTGGGAGACTTGGAGAAGTGTGGAAGGGTTCGTTGAAGTAGCCGGAGGGAGGGGGGACGCCGCCTGTTCCTCTCCTCCTCCGGATTCTCGCTCACTGTTGACTCTGGGACATCAATCACTAGGCGAAAAGGCCTGGGTGAGATGTAGCTTCGCAGTTTTAGGCCCTGTCTCTCCATTGGCTGAGAACAGAGAGGAGCGGGATGAATGACAGCGAGGAGGAGAGGGGGAGAGAATGAGCGAGAGGGAGGGAGAGGGAGGGAGAGAGAAAGAGAGGGACTAGGGGAGGGAGGAGGGAGAGATTCAGAGAGCGAGAAAAATGGAGAAAATGGGGGGGGGTAGACAAACCAAAAAGAGATAGGGCAGTAGAAAGAGAAAGAGGAAAGTAGTAGGAAACGATCTAGAAAGAGAAACTAATGGGACATAGACACAGAGGAGGAAGAGGTGGTAAAGAGAATAGCCAGCCCCAGCCTCACCCTGGCAAACAGGGCCTCTCCTTCACCTCTTCCAGCTCCCAAGTCAGAAACCCTGAGTTCCTTGGGCTCTGGACCCGCAGGTTCCCCCAGATGTCAGGAGTCTCAGGGAAAGACGGAAGCTATTTCCATCCAGGGCTGACGACAACACCTGTCAATGAACCTGGAGATTTGCTTCCAAGCTTCAATTGTTGATGATTAAAAAGGAATCTTTGGTTTTTAGGTTTCTAGTGTATGGAGATCTGGCTGTTCTGGGTAATTCCGGGAAAATACAGGCAACGTCCACTTCAAAATTTATTATTATTTTAATGCCTTCCCTTGACAATAATATTTAGAGTTTTGATAGAATCTCTGGATTCAGAAGTGAGATTGGGAAGAAGTTAGGAAAGGAAGGACAATTAATGAGAGATGAACCACCGACTCTCAAGCTGGATGTGATAGCCTCTGCCCAAAATATCGAGACAACCCCACCTCAAATGTTTTTCCTTCATTGTATAACCTTGCTAAAGTCCCACCAATCATCGCTTCCTTTGAGTTTACAAGCTTCTCTCAAAATGCAGATGCCTTTGGGTAATAATAACAGTCACCCACACCTTAGTGTGGATTAGTTTAATTACAGATTTCATATATTGCTAGAGCTGGCCTTAGAGATCATCTAGTTCAACTCTTTTTTATTTAATTTGATTTTAAAATAAATTTTATTGATGTCTCATCTTTATGACAGTCATTTCTCATCTTCCTTCAGCTTTAACCATCCCTTGTGACAAAAACAATTAAGCATACACACACACACACATATACATATATGTATGTATTAACCATATCTGAAAATGTAATAAATGTCCTATTAACGCCCTCATTTTACAGATAAATTTCATAGAGATCAATTGATTTGCCCAAGAGTACACAGTTATCTGCAGAGCCAGAACTCAGACCCAGGTCTCCTGACCCTCTGAGTATAGGGTGCTTTCCACTATCCCATATTGTCAGAGCCTTTTTTTTCTAGCAGTAACTAAGATCAACTTCCCTAAGAGAGTGGGACTGGAGGATTGGTTGACTATTTGTCAATTTTTTTTGTGTCTATAGATCTTTGATGGGGTGAAGGGAAGGTCTAGGGTAGGGGTGAGGAACCTGTGGCCTCAAGGCCAAGTATGACCCTCTAGGTCCTCAAGTGCAAGAGGTCGTGGGAGAGGTCACCTGGGGATAGGAAAGGAGAGTGAAGAGAGAGATGGGAAGAGGCCAAAGACAATATTTTCATATTCAGGAATTTTGCCTCTAGCTGCCCAAAACCAAGGAAGAGGGAGTAGCCTCTCTCCTCCTCTTCTATTTATTTCTTTCTTCTCCTTCCTCCCATCTCCGTCCTCCCTCTTACACTTCATTGGCCCACCACTCTTCAGACAAGTTTCTGGCCAGTACTATTCACTGACAACTACTTTGTGGGCTAGCCTGAGTACTTTATCTCTACAGAAAACTTTTTAATGAGTAAATGCTTTCCTGATTTCCAGACAAAATAAGGTATATACTAAAAATTATTATAGTTCAGAGGCTGCCTATGACAGTAAAGATGAAAATTTATGTCATGGATGTTAATGGGAAAATGGTCTGAGGTCTTCCTTGCCCCACAATTCACCTATTCCTGCCTCTTTTGGGGGTTGTAGGAATCTTTTTCTAACATGGATTTGACCCACTTTGATCCTCTTTCTGTCCTTTTCCAACCTACTTATGTTTCTGCTGATACCTGGTCACTTTGTGTCTTTGAGTGCTGCTTGGGGAGGGGTCAGAGAGATCCGAACCATACATAATCCTTCATCATTGTGTTGACCATGTAATTCCCCTTTCTATAGATAAGCTTCCCTATTCTGAGCATAGGAACCATTAGTCATTCCTTTGGAGTTTCCCCAACTCCAGAACTATAGAGTAGTGGAATCCTCACCCTCAAATATCTCATGCCTTCTGATGCCATGTAATAAGGAAGTGACTCTGAATATCTAACCACAGGACTTATACACACCTTCTGTCTTTCCTGGAGATGAAGACTATTTCATATCATTTCATCCTTTTAACTCTTCACACCACTCCTTTGTCCACACTTCACTTCCCAATCATCTTCTCTCTGGAAAAACCTCATACTATTTTGTGTTGTCTCTCCCTCCTCCCATTAGATTATAAGCTCCTTGAGGTCAGGGACTGTCTTTTTATTAATTGAATCTTGAGCACTTAGTATACTACCTGGCACATAATAGGCACTTAATAAATGCTTATTAGACTATTGGATACCTCCAACCTCGTAAATATAATTTCCCCTCCCCATTGTTTACATAGGCAAGATGTATGATCAGTCCCTAACTCTTTTGCCAGTTGAAAGGTTCAGCACATCCAAAGATAAGCTTACAAGAGTTGTCAAAGCCTGAGAAAATGGGGATGCCTGGGAACAGAGGTTCACACCTTTCCTACTCTAGCAAGCCTGCAAATATGTTTGTGTACTTATTATCCTGTGGGCCTGTTTCCTTTGTAAACACAAACTGTAGTCATTCAGCTTGTGGTATACCAGGACCTTGAGATCTCTTTATCAAACTTATTCTTAGTCCATGTTTAATTCTTACTTGAAGATATAGCATTCAACACAGTTTAGAAAACCTCCTTGACAATCTCTCCAACTTGGTGAAGCCAATTCTAATTCTGTCCAAGAAAGTAAACTGAGTCACTTAATGTATTTGGTCATCAAGTGTATTAGAAAGAATAATCAGTTATATAAAAATTGCCTTTTGGAGGATAGCTGTCCAATAGAGATTTCTCTCTTTCAGCTAGGTGCCTTAGTTTGACACAAGGCCTGCTCTCTCTTAAGCTTTCAGACTGGGAAATAGTCCCTGACAGAGAATGTCTTCAGTAGACTCTTTTCCTTCTCCCTCCTCTCCACCCTGAGTGCTTTAGATGAACTCCCTTGGAGTGAAGAAGGCTTAGACTAATCTGGTGAGACCTGATCTCTAGAGTCCTGTTGCTTCTCAGGAACCATTATTAAAGCAAGTGCTGGTGGATTCTTAGCATGAAGCAGTGAAAAAACTCAGAGGATTTCCACTCAGCAAACCTAGGTTCAAATTCTGGCACAGCTACTTACTGAGTAGTACCTTAGGGGAATTATTTAGCCTCTCTGGGGCTCAGTTTTTCTCATGGGTAATGATGAAAGAGTTGGGCTAGATAACTTCCAAGGTCTATTCTAAATCTGGTTATCTTAAAAAGGATTTCTGAAAGGCACAGGCTGCAGTTCAGTTCTCATGGTGCCCCTTCCCATCCCAGTCTTTTCCTCTCCCAGTACTGTATAGTACAACTGCCCTTGTCTCCAGACATAAAGCAGAAAGTCCTTGTTCTTTCACCCTAAGGCGGGTCCTTCTTGCCCCATCTGCGCTCCATCCCAAGCTGCCCCCATCCACCTCATCAGCTATGTACATAAACACACATATAAACACACTCCACCCCCACTGTTCTCTTCGGACACCAAATAAAGAAGTCTCTAATAAAAGAAGAGCAGCTGGGACCAGAGGGAAAGGGGAGGAAGGGGGAGGAAGGTCTCAGTAGCAAAGATAGGCACCCCCTTCCTAACCTCCTCACTTCTAGAGACATTGGACTAGTTGAGTTTGATCATTGGCATGGAAGTTTGGGGTGTGCCTGCAGCTTTATAAAGTGTTTATAATGGTGTGTATGTTTGAGGGTATAATGAGTGTGTGTGTGTGTGTGTGTGTGTGTGTGTGTGTAACAGGGTGAAGTTGTGTGTAATGGACTCATGTGACAAGTATATGTGGAACCTGTGTGAATAAAGGGAGAAATGTATCTATAAGGACATCTGTGTAAAAGACTATGCTACATGATCTGATCTTGTGTAGGGGAGGAGTGTATTATAGTGGGTTGTACTTGACAATGTGTTTCTATGTGAGTATGTGGTGGTGTTTGTGTGAGGGAGTTAGTAGAGCCTGACTTTTTGTGTTCCCTTTTGCGTATAGAAGCCCCATTGCCACCACTTCCAATTAGACACCAGGCTGTTGGGCTGACTCTTTGGGGGCATTAGTACATGAAGTCTGAAAGCCCCTCAGGCTCTGCTGCTGGTTACTCAGCATTATAATGTGAGTGAGCAGAACAACTTCACTGAGGTGGACCATGCACAGGTGAGTAATTTGGCACATTGCCCCATTCTGACCCAGACCACCTCCTCTGACCCCCAAAGGGAGCACAGAAGAACACTGAGCTGAGACTGGCCACTTGTGACTCAAGATGGCCTATTAACCAGTCCCCTAAGTCTGATGAGGTCAACCAGGCAGTTGACTCCCAGGGTCTTAGACTGGGCAAGATCAGAATGGCTTCTTCTCTTGGGGTTGCAGGAGTCTAACCAACACCATCCTCAGACCCTGGTGACCCAAATATAACACACACACATATTCACAGGCATCTTAACTCTTACCCCCAGGTGGTGCTAGGGAAATAGTCTCAAAGGGGTCAGATTGATCAGTGGACAGATTTCCTTGTAGTCACTGGAGCCTCAGCTGTGACCTAGCTTAGCCTTCTTCCTCTCACCACCCCTAGCTCCTGGGACTTGTTTTGTTTTCCCACCTCCCCTTTCCCTTGGTGACATTTCAGCAAGGGAAGACACCAAGGAGAAGACAAGAGGATTGAAATAAAGGGGTGTAATGGGCTCAATCCAAGTGGGAGGCTGTCTTTAGCTAACTCCACTTTCTGACTTCTGAACTCAGGAAAATACTCAGCACCAGTCAGGCAGGGCCAACCCAGAGAGAGACCCCAGAAGAACCAGGAGGTGAGGCCCCGGCCCTGGCAAGAGGTGGGACAAGAACCAAATTCCCTCACAACTGTTCAGGGTGAGCCTGCCTGGGACACCCAAAGGTCCCTGAAGTGCCCCTCCCCCGTCAGTCCTCACCCTATCCCGCCAAAACCTTGGAGAGCAGTTGCTTCCAACCCTATCATCGGCAGAGACCCCAGCCAAGCGAAGGCAGAAGACATCAGTGAACTTAGAAGGAGTCCTGAGGGAGCAAGAGAACATAATTTACAGCTCCATAGTATTCAGTGTTTAGAAACAAGAAGCCAAGAGCTCTGACGTTCTTCACTCGCCTCCGGGAATCATTGGGGTGAAAAGTGAGAGAAGGGGAGGATTCTCTGAAAACAGTTTAAGGGACTTTGACCTGGTGGCGTTTTGAGAGGGTGAATGAAACAGGGACCTGTCTGCGCTGGTCAGGCTTGGGCAGAGAACTACCCAGGGACTATGGATTCTCTGCCCCCTTGCACCTCTCCCCTCCACTCGGCAGCGGAGACTTCTGATTGTGGGGCAAGAAGGCTAGTCCAGGAACCTTGCTGGGGGCTGCTAAGAGCTGCTTTCCTCTTCTCTTTATTCCAGTACCAGTTTCCAAAGCCGCACTTAGTGGCGCTAACTCAGGCTAGATTAATATTGTTGCAAAAGGGAAACCTGTCAGCAAGATGGAGACTCTCCTGAAGGGCCCCTAACTGTTGTCGCCGTTACGGAGGAAGCTTTGTAAGCCCAAGTTCGTTTCCCAAAGTTGTTAAAGGAGTTGGCCCAGGGTACGGAGGACTAGAGTTGTCCTGCCCTTCTCCCTTATCTTGTGCCACCGGAAGACAGGTTTCGGGGGTTGGGAGGAAAGAAGCCCAGACAACCAGGCCAAGCAAAGAGCACATATCCAGCCGCCTGCGAAGGCCAAGTCGCTTCGTGCCTGCTCGGAATAGTGGTGTAACGTGATCAGCCGGGCCTGGGACCCAAGGACCTGGACTGAGGACCGAGCTGAGACAAGAGGCAGTGTAGGATTATGGGGCAGCTGGAAGTAGTGGTGAAGACTATGTGTTGGAAGCTCCGGGAGGAGGGTTCTACAGCTCCTGGGTCTTCGGGGACTTGCGGAGGAAGTCATTTTGCAGAGTTACAAAAAAAACCCTCTCAAAAAAAAAAGTGTTTATTGCTCACTCTGCTTTCCATTTCCCCCTGCTCTCCTCATTCTCCCTCCACTTCCCTCTTTCTTATCTCTTTTACCTCCCCCTTTTCTCCCTAACATTTCTTTTTTCCTTTTCCCTCTCTGCCTTCTCCCCTCAGGCTCCCTTCGCCAAACGTACACCTGGGTCCGCCAAGCTATACTCCCGGGACTGCACATAATGGGGATGCAGAGCCCATGCAACAACAGAGTTGGAAGGAACTTTATAGACTAGAAAATCTAGTCCAACGCCTTCCTATGACTATCTTGGCCCAGTGTGACACTGGGGCCAAAGCTAGTGAGGTCCAAAGTTGAGGAACACCCAAGTCTAATAGACCCAAAGCACAAAATATAGTCGTCTCCAACATTCTTCGGCTTCTCCCGGGGGAAAGCCAGGAAAAAAGAACGAGAGTGAAAGGGAGAGAAAAGAAAAGAGAGGGAGGAAAGCTAGAGAGAGATCGAGGAGGGGGAAAAGAGAGGAGGAAGAAGGGGGGAAAGGAGAAACTTGCAATGAGGGGACAGTAGGGAAAAAGGGGAAGAGAGGTAGAAGGGGAAGTGGGGAGAGGAGGAGAGGGAAAGAAAGAGGAAAGAGGGAAAAGAGAAAGGAGAGGGAGGAGTGAGGAAGCGAGTTCTTGGCCAGCTCCTAAGACAGCTTCCTTTAAGGTGCCGCATTTGGGTTAAGGCCGGAACCGCAGCGGCAGCCTCCGCCTCCACCCCCCCACTCCGCAGCAGCCGCTCTGGGCTCGTTTGACTGCCCGCAAAGTCGGGTAAGTAATGAGTCGGCCCTACCAAGCACAGACAGCTGCAATTGATGAGCGTCCAGTCGCTCTCCTCGCTTGCCTTTATTTTCCTCCTTGCGCCTTATTAGAGTAATTACGGAGCGCGCGGGTGCTCTTAATGAGCCTCGCTCACCCGGGTGAGGTGGAAAGGGAGGAGGGGGTGGGGGAGAGAGAGTTAAGAGGAAGCAGAGGAGGGATGGGGGGGGAGCAGGAGGAAGGAGAGGAAGTAGAGGGAAATACCGCACCAGTACTTCACCTCCCCCTTTCTCTGTCCCGGGGCGGGCCTGAGGGTAGCCGGGAGTTATGAGAGAAGAGGCCCAGGTGTAGGCCAGGACACAAGCGCTGGTGCCTGACCGACGGACTTCACCAATGGGGTCTAAAATATTCTCCCACGGTTCGTGAGCTCGTAGACGTGTTCGCTCCCGTCATCAGTGCAGATCGAAACCAATCTACGATTTCTCATCCCGTGTAATTCTGCGCTCTTGTAAATCCTCTCCGGGGTATCTATCCAAGATACTGGGGGACAGCTTTTGTTGTTTTTCATACTTCGTGAATGCCAGTATAACACTCGGGCACTCACGCTTTGATACATACACACTGATAAAATAACAAACTATTCTATGGTCCTCTGGGGAGTGCACTTTGCCTTCTCCTCCATCACGCCCTGGCTCGGGGAAAGACCCTTCCCCCTCCCTCCCACTTACGGCTTTAGGGCCCTCCCTGGTTCGAAGTCCTTAACAGCTTCCCAGCACACAGCATCCGCGGGCTGAGGGAAGCAGAGAAATTAAATGATTATTAGGATGAAGACTTTGAGCTTTCTGAAGCCAAAACAATCCGGGTCTTTGTTGCTTTTTGTTTCCCTGAAGAGTCTTAGACCAGGACCCCAGGAAACAAGCTTCGTAGATCCCATACAATCCCATGGAAACTGAGGTCGCAGGTTGTGAAGAACTTTTGGCTCAGACCCGTTCCACCGGACCCAAATCTCTGGGTCTGCGCTGTCATCCCTGGGGCTGGGAACGAAAGCTAGAAGGGGAATGAGATTTGGGTCCAGTTCCACTTTCCTACTTCTGGCCCAACCTTAATCAAACGTTGGTTATTTGCTGAGTCTTCAATTTCTTTTTTTTCCTTTTTTCTTTTTCTCTTCTGCTAGAACTGAGGGCCAGCAGGCCAGCAGCAGCTGAGCCACTTAGACTTATAATTTTGCGACTCTGTGCCTTTTGCTTGGGTCGGAAGATCAGAGGTGGAATAGACACCCGACCTGTCAATGACTTGAATGAAACAAAAATCTTTGGGATTTCGGAAAACACTGGATGGTGGAATGGTGGGATGGAGAGTGAGGTGGTCAGGAGGCGACCTAGTCTCCTTAGCCACAGCACAGCAACAGCGTGAGGCAGTTCGCTGAACTGTTGAGAGGAAGCTGGAAATTGTTTAGTTTATTTTGGCTGAGTTTAACAGTTACCCCTTTCTCTCCGATAGAGGAGATTCATTCTCTGTACCCTGTTTGTAGGTGTGGAGTTGAGGCCCCGTTTATGTTGTGCCTTGAGCAAGTGTCTGGGGTCTTTTGTAAAGGTGGCTATCCACGTAGCATTTCTGTCGCTCGTGCCCATTCCTGCTTGTTTATACACACACAGACACACAATATACACTTGTGTACAATACGTTATCATTCATGTAGGCACACACATGCACGTTTCTCTCCTAATAATCTTCCTGCCTTTTTCTCTCTCTCTCTATAAATGTCTCTCTTCTCTGTTCCCAGTCCCCCATCCCCCAGGTTTTCCGGACTGGCTCCAGATTCTACGTCAAAGATCCTGGGGTCCCAGAAGGAGTTGCAGAGTGGAACCTCAGGTGCTGCTTGGAGTAGAGACCCTGACCTAGGAGTGCCGGTGCCAGCCTCCCTGGAGCAGCGTAGAGAGAAGTGCGGGTAGCGCTTAGGGGCTCAGGGTTGGGGGTGGGGGGTGAGAGAGGGCGGTTCCGAGAGGGAATCCATATGGATGGGCTCCCGGGATACAAAGAGCAGCTGCCTGCTAGCTCCTGGTGTGCGGGCTCCGGGCTAATTGAATTAGGGCAAGCAGAGCAGGCTCCCACCCTGCGCGCCACCAGCTCCCCGCCCTCCCTCCCGGTTTCCCTTCCCTCCAGAGTCCAGAAGCTGAATGAAGAAGGCAGCAGCCGCCTGCGTCCCACGCCCGCGGCAGCGCCCGGAGCCCTGCGGGGCGCCCTCCCCCTCCCAGCGCTCCCTCCGGAGTGGGCCCTTTGTCCCGCTGGCTGCTGGCCGAGTTAGGAGCCCAGCTATCCCCAACTGGACAGCGACGCCATGATTAATGGGTCAGCCAAGAAGTTGGCACAAGGAGGGGCCTGTGCAACCCCCCTCCTCCCTCCTCCGCCCTCAGCTGCTCGAGCTGTCAAGGGCCCTGGACCCTCCTCCGCCCAATACTGGACCTGAAAAGACTAAGCAGCCTGTTATCGAGTTGTGGCTTAAAGTACTATGTTTTGGGGTACTGTGCTCAAGTGTGTGTCTATCGGGATTTGTGTATATATTTATGTACCTGTGTATATATATGTGTGATTGTAGGTCTGTTGGGCAAGGTGTGTGCTTGGCTGTTTGAATACTGTGTCTCGACTGCACGGACCAGTGAACCTCAGAAAATGTTTAACTTTGCACTTCTTATGCAGACCTGGGGACCCATCTGTGTCGGAGGGCATTCTAGAAGCCCAAGGTTTGAGGTATGGACAGCTCCCCAACCGCACAAACAGGGTACCCATCAGCCGGAAGAGTTGGGCAGCTGGAGCCTCAGAGATTCAGCAAGGGTCCTGTGGGAATCTCTAAGAAGAGATTTCTGTCTCAACTCCAAGAATGACGCTGAATCCCACATTCCTGGAGGGGTAATACCAGCCCAACTGAAAGAGGTCAGAACAAGAACTCTTCCGACTCAAAGATTTGTGTCCAAATTGATTTGCTACTGCATACGTTCTTTTCTCTCCTTCTTCTTCTTCTTCTTCTTCTTCTTCTTCTTCTTCTTCTTCTTCTTCTTCTTCTTCTTCTTTTCTTCTTCTTCTTCTTCTCTTCTTCTCTTCTCTCTTCTCTCTCTCTCTCTCTCTCCCTCTCTCTCTCTCTCTCTCTCTCTCTCTCTCTCCTCCTTCCCTTCCCACTCCCACGGTACACTTTGCATTCTTGTCCACGCCCCAAACCCACGACTCAGTCAGAGGAGCAGGAAAATCTGCAGCAAATTTGCTGAGGTTTCAGAATCAACTTGGGGGGGTGGGGGAGGCAGGAATCAGAGATAGAGAGGTGAACGACAAAGTCCCAAGCCTTTGAAATATCCAGTGCAAATTAAGCACTATGGACTTTGGGCACTGATTTTTGCTTGTAGAATAGATGAACAGAGGCGAGGAGGCACTGGCTTCCTACAATTCCTATCTACATGCGGAAGGGGAGGGAAGGGGCAGACATTCACCAAAGCCTGGAGGGGCCGACACTCCCTATACCATCCCACGCAGATCTGTTGGCGAAAAATTTGGAACAGATGAATATCCTTCCTTTGGTACATTTAGAGAAAATGAGATCTGCCTGGTTAATTAGTCCAAGGGCAGATTAACAGAACACCAAAAGAAATTAGGCTGCTGGCCAGGGAAGGCCGGTCTTCGGTCCCTTATCCTTGGTCCTTCTCCTATTGTGCTCTTGCTTCCCAGAAAATGGAAAGAGGATCTGAGTAGAGGGATGACCATACCTGGAAGTGCAAGAGATGTTTAAGCGTGGGACTTCGCTGGCTTTGAAGACGAGTCTATCACAGCATTTAACCGTTCTGATCACTTTCTCTCAAAGGGGCTTAAATAACTGGGCTTGCTAAACACATTAGCTAAGACCAGTGATCCTGGACAGCCGAGCACCTACTTACACACCCGGGGATCAGGGTCGAGGTCTAAAAGGAGGGTAAATGGAGGCGGTTGGCATGGGCTGGTGATGGGGGAGGGAGGATGTCTAGGAAGCAGGCAGGCAGCCAGATATCTCCTCTATGGGTTCGACTCACATAGAGCGCATTGAGATCCAGGAAAGCACCAACAAGAGAGATCCAAGAGACCCGGGGCGAGACAGCTCCCTACTCTCCTCTACTGGTCAGCAGCTAGGCTCAAGTAGGGGCCACCCAAGGGCTAGTGAAACTGTGGTTCGGCCTCCGCCCCTTTCCACTCTTCGTCTCTGCTCCTCCTTTCTTAGTTGCACCCGCAGTGGTTCCAGCAAGGGCAGCGCGGCCGGTGTGTTTTCTCCAGCTCATAAAATCTCTAACACATTTTTTTTCCAGGACTTTTACTGCTCAGCGGAGATGAGCAGTGACATTCCTGTCTCCCCTTTCATAAATATTACATCTTCCCAATGCAATTACAGGAAACGGAGCAGCGGAGTGTTTACTAAATAAGATTATGGAATAATGCTAATGTATTTCATGTCGGTGTCTGACACCAGACAAACTCCCTATTAATAACCACTCAATGAGGCGCGCAGGCTCTCACCGGGGGCCGCTGCAGGGGACCTCCGGCTTTCTGCGTGGGAAGTGGCCACTTCTTGGCTATGCACTATAGCGGAGCTGGAGGGGCCCGGAGCAGCCTTCAGCCTGGTCCTGTGAGCTCCTGGAATGCCCTTACCAGAAGCTAGAGCAAATTACCCCCTCGCCAGTCCTGCGGCTGAAGATCAAGGGTCTCATCCATCCATCCCTGGGGTCACTCGGCACATTATTTGGACTGAGATATGCCCACTCCTATCCCCCTCCCACATAGGATCCAGGCCCAGGTTTTCGCCACTGTTACTTGTCTGTAGCCTGATTTCTTTTAGCCGAAGGCCGATTTCTCTTCCATTTGGGAGTAGGGTGTGGGAAGCCGAAGGAGGACAGGGCCACAAATCACCAAAAAAGAACTGATAGCTAGGGTTCAAGGTCTACTGTGCCAGCCCCCTGGCCAAAGGTGAAATATTATAGACTGAGGGGTCTTTTCCTGCCTTCAAATAAAAAGATGCTCCATGCACACGGATCTAAGTAATGAGGGACCAGGGAGGGGTGGGAGAGCCTGCAGGCTCAGCAAATCCTGCACTGACTCTGAGGCCTCTCCTATCCCCTTCCTCCGATGTCAGCAAACCTTGGGCAGAGAAACCTCTCAGCCTCTCAGCCGCCTTAAGGAAGGAAGAGGCTTCCACCATCCTCGGGCCTTTGAGGGGAGGGGATACTTCACGATTTCTACCGTCTCTCCACCTGCCCCTCACACACGGGGGTGAGGGAAGAAGATTAGCCAATGTGTATGGGTCAGTGTGGAGAGAAGGAAGAAGAGGCGGGGAGCAAGGAACACCCCAAACTCTGCCAATCTTCGTGCCCTTGTTCACCAGGTGCCCTTTAGTCTGGATGTCTTTCTGAGCTTCTACCCCTCCCCTCCACCCTCATTCTGCACACTCAGCCTACCCTCTTCCCCAAGTGTCTTAGATCGCCGTGGGGAAACAGATCCATATGAATTATGAACTAGTCTGTTCTCTTCAGATGCACGGAGACTTCCAACAAGGCTCTCCTTTAAGATGCATCATGTCTTCCTTTCCTATGTTTCTTGGTTTTCTATTTTTTTCCATCTCTCTCATCTCTCTTCCATCCTGCCTTTTCTCCTGGTTCTATCTTACAGGATGGCACCTCCTCCAACCCACAGGTCCCCACCCCTATACACATCTGTCCACACAAATATACAAAGGTGTGTGTACACAAGCACCTGCATACACATAGAAACAGAAAAAAGCACAGGCATATCTAAGTCTCCTCTAGCTTTAAATTTTGTGGTTATACAACAATATGCACACAAGTACACCCAGACACAAATACACACACACACTCGTGAACACAGGAGCACAGGCAAATATGAGCACTAGCAAAGCCTCTTCTTGAAACAGCTATTGAGGCCAAGCCAAGACTTTCCAGCTCTGGCTGAGAATTGAGCAGTCCTGGTCTCTGGGGGAAGTCCTATTCCCCTTTGTGGGAATTATGTGTATCAAATTTAACATATATTTAGAGTGTGTTTTGATATGTGTAAATCTAAAGTTACGGGATTCTAAAAGTCATTCCCTTGTATGCACCTTAATAATGATTGATCTGAGAGAATAAATGAGAAACAGGTTGGAGCTGGTACACTGATCTGAGAGGGGCCAGATTTGATGTAGGAATTGTCAGCCATCTCTGCTCAGAAAAGGAACTGAGAGCCGGAAGTACTCCTAGGACAACCACAACCACAACCACAACAATTAGTAACTTTATAAATAAAAAAATTTTAAATTAAATTTCATTTTATTTTCATGTCTATCTTTTCTCCCTCCTACCTTCCACCCCCCACCCCCACTGAGAAAGTAAGAAAAGCAAAAGCTGTGCTTCAAACATGTAGAGTAAAAAATTCCAGTAGTGATGTGCTACACCCCTCCCCCACCAGTGGTCTCAATGTACTTTGAGTCCATCACCTCTCTTTCTGGAAATTGGCAGTATATTTCATCATGACTCCTCTGGAGTTGCAGTTGGTACTTGCATAGATCATGGTTCCTAAATATTTCAAAGTTGTTTGTCTTTACAATATTGTTGTTATTATATTGTTATTGTGTTGTATTGTAAATTGAAGAAATAGTAACTTAATGGGATAATGGGGGAGGGGGAACTGGGCTAATTTCCGTTAGAGATTTATGCTGTTGTTGATAATGATGTTGTTACATATTCTAGTTATTTGTGCTGGTATCTTAGCTCCTTACTAGACAGTAAACTCTGGAAGGGGAGGGACTACTACCCTGTCTTAGCTCAACTTTGTATGTCCTCTGGAATCCTGTAGATACTAAGTAAATGTTCATTGTAGTTTTCATTTCTTATAAACACTGGTTTTTCCTTTTCTTTGTATCCCCAGAAATTAGCACAGTGCCTAGCACGTAATAGGTATTTAATAGATGCTTGTTGACTTGATGGTAATATTCCTTCACATTCCACAACTTGTTTATCCATTCCCCAATGAATGAACATGAACTTTGTTTTCATCTCTTTGTGACCACAAAAAGTACAGCACTTAGTTTTGTTGTTTTTGCTGTTTCCACTTACGTAGTTATGGTAATTATACATATTGCTTTCCTGGTTCTTCTTATTTCACTTTGCATCAATGTTTATTTCTTGCTTCTTTGTATTTTTCATATTAATAATTTTAGAGCAAAAGGGTATTCCTTTATACTCAGATATCTCAATATTTATTTTACAAAGGAGAATTGATCTCAACTCCTCTTTGAATACTTCTCAACAGCTCAAACACTCCTTTAGTTATGCTCTGAACTTGACGACAGGAAGAATTCCATAACACCCCATAATGGACTCTATGGCATACCAACATGGCTGCCATCAGTTTTCCTCCTATGATGTAGTCAGTTCCCCCATTTTCCTCAGACCACTCAAGCTGTTTCAGCCATAAATTAAGGGCTTTTATAGAGGCTGAGTTTTAATTTGGGTTTGGGTTGGTTTTCAGTCCACCCCTGTGATGTAGGGAACCTCCAGTGAGAAGACCCCTCTACCAGTGCAAATCCATTGTTATTCTGCAACTTCTAGACCAAGATAATTTCCTGGGACACTGGGAAAGTAAACGATTTGCTCAGCAACACACAACCAGTATGTGGCAGAGGGGAGACTTGAACTTAAGCCTTCCTTACAGTAGGAAGGTTCTCTATCCACTACTCCAAGCTATCTTTGAGAGGTTTTTTTCTTTTTTAAACTATCTATTCCTTTCCGGCATTCCTTGGCAAGCCCTCAGCTCTTCTTTTTCTGAAAGAGAAACTGAGGCAATAATTCCTCTCTATTAACTTAGTTCATTCACCTCTATTAGTACTAGCACTTAACAGGTAAAGGCACAAGATTATATTCATATTGCACTGTATGGTACCTACATCCACATAATACCCCCCAAACTCTTCAAAGAGAGCTAGCAAAGGCCTTGGATTTTGAAACAGGACGACATGAAATTGGCTTTTGACCATCCAAAATGCTCAAGACAGTTGAGACTGCCAGCAAGGGCATAAGGCTTCTAGAGAAGGCCCAAGTGTGAGCATGGAATTGTGGATGAAAAAACGGAAGTGCTGTGAAGAATAGAATTGCCCAGAATAGTTTATGTACTTTGGCAAACTGTCCTGGTTACAGGGAAATGGACCAGGAAAGTGGGTGGGATTACTTTGCAGCCACTGAGACCTAAAGGTCTCCTAAAGGAGGGCAAAGGTAGTAACTGCCAGTTTTATATAGAACAGCTTGAAACCTGAATAGATAGATATGGATAGATAGATATAAACAAATTTATTGATTTTTTTAAGATGGCAATCATTTCCTGAGATTACTCTCCACCTCCTAGCCCCATTTTCAAAACAGAAAAGCAGTTAAGCAAAATCAAATGAAACAGTAATGGAACAAATGGAAACAGTAATGGAAAGTTCATAGCACATGCCACATTCTGCACCACTGTCTATCTGCAGGAGGGAAATAAGTTTCTTTATCTTTTCTCTGGGTTGAAGATTGTACATTAGAATTAAATGGAGTTCAAATGCCTTCTGGTAATATTTTCACTTATTGTAGCCAATATATATCTTTTCCTCTTGAGTCTGCTTACTTCATTCTGCATCAGATCCCACAAATCTTGTCATATTCTTCATTTCTTACATTTGAAATTTTGTAATCTTTTTGTTTTTACATCACTTTCATTTGTCAATATATAGACCTGCAAAGAGAGGAGGGGAGGTATCATGCCTGTTCTTTAGATACAAGCTTGGTCATTGTAAATTCACAGCATTCAGGTTTTTTTTTTAAATAAAATTTTATTGATACCTTTTGTTCTTTAGATCATCCATATTTCCTAAGGTGTTCCTCCCACTTTTCCCTCACAGAGTACCATCCCTTTTAACAAAGAATAAAAATGAGGTGTGTGTATGTGGAGGAGGGGAGAACAATTTAGCAAAACTAACCAAGATATAAAAACATTATGACATTGCATTCAATATTCACCCTCCTCCTCTCTCACCCCACACCTCTACAAAGAAGCAGAGTGAGGTGCTTTCTCATCTGTTTGTTTTTAAATTCAATTTTATTTTATTTTCCATTTCCCTTTCACCTTCCTTTCCTTACTCACTGAGAAATCAAGAAAAACAAAAACAGTTACAAATATGTGTGTGTGTGTGTGTGTGTGTGTGTGTGTGTGTGTATTCAGGCAAAACGAATTCTCACATTAACTCTGTGTGTATATATGTATGTGTGTGTGTGTGTGTGTGTGCATGTGTGTGACCTTTCTATAGTGGTGGATAGCATGGTTCGTCTTAAGTCCTCTGGAATTGTGGTTGGTCATTGTCCCTAAGTCTTTCAAAGTTATTTATTTTTACAATATTGCCATTTTGCATAAATTGTTCTTCTAATTCTGTTCAGTTTACTCTGCATCAGTTCATCCAAGTCTTCCCAGGTTTCTCTGAAACTATTCTCTTCACTTTTGTTTTTTTACAGAATAACGTATCACATTCATATATCATAAATTTTCAGTCATTCCTCAAGGTGATGGGTACCTCCTCAGTTTCCAATTTTTTGCTACCATAAAAAGCTGTTGTAAATATTTTTGTGCATATAGATCCTTTTCCTCTTTCTTGGATCTCTTTAGGATACAGACCTAGTAGGGGTATATCGCTGGGTCAAAGATACAATATTCAGTTTTTATTTTATTGTTCCTTCACTTTCGTAGTTGTAGCAATTTTACATATTGTCTTCCTTATTCTGCTTGCTTCACTTTGAATCAATTTATTCCATGCTACTTTGCATGCTTCATGTTAATAATTTCTTAGAGCATAATGGTATTCCTTCATATTTAGATGCCTCATTTTGATTAGCCATTCCCCAATCCCTAAACACCCACTTGTTTCCTGGGCTAGAATACTGAAGATTGGGTAGAAAAGTGCCTTTGTCTCAAAGTAGAGAGGGGCAAGACCCACTATGTCAAGGATGATAGTTGAACAATTTGCCTGGGAAGCAGAAGTTTGGATTGGCTTAAGGATTCCACCACATCTTGCTGCAGGGATAGTCTGAGGCTATTCTGGGTTAGTTGCTGTTTCCTTCTGCAATTTAGCCTCACCAGCTCTCACTCCTCTGGTACACGATTTCTTTACTTTAGTATCTAAGTAAATTTCCCTTTCACACCTTCAAGGGCCTGTGGGCTTGTAAAAGGGAAAGTCAGTGTTTTCTTACCCAAGGCCTTGGGGTCAAGCAACCAACTACTCCTGAGCCTCTGGCATCCCTCTAAGTACATACATACCTACTGCTCTTTTAACCAAAATAAAGGAATGAGTCTATATCTGTGTTGACTAATCTTATTTAGTCAGGAAGGTCTTAAAACTAGCAACAATGAATCCACAACCTTGGAGGTGATTAGAGTTTAAACACAACCTCTCCTACTTCTCCACCCCCAGCCTCGAAGCACAGAGCTCTGACTGGGGGAGAGGAAGGCTTGAGGCCACCCTTTTTCCTTCAAATTCTGTCTATATGCTTCATCCCCTCAGGGTGAGGCTCTCTCTGCTTTCCAAGGCAACAATTAACTAATCTGATAGACTCAATGTGCTAATGTGCTAATGAGAGAAAGCTTGAGGAATTCCTTAGGGTCTTCTCTCCAGTTTCTAGGACACACATGTGCATTGTAACAGGCTCCTCCTGGAGACAATTATTTGGTTTTTTGTTGTTATTCTATTAGCTGGCATTTATGTTAATATGTGCCTTAATGTTTGCAAACCACTTTACATATATTTTCTCATTTGGTTCTTACAACTCTCTGAGACAAGTACTACAAATATTAATGTTTCCATTTTGTAGATGAAGCAACTAAGTCTTAGAGAGGTTGATGGTCATTAAAGTTAATGGTAATTGCCACGATCACATCATGAAACCAGTATAGAGGTTGGATTTGAATCCGGGTCTCTACTGATAATGAAACTTTTTTGACTAGCCTCTTGAAGGGGCTAGAATTTCACTGTTGCAAATGCAGATTGCTGCAAATTGCAATGACAAAACCAAAAATTAAAAAAACAAAACACCAGCACTTTGTGGCCAACCTGGTGACAAGCTTCTTTGAATTTAGTTGAGCTGATCATTGGTTGACAGATAGACACATGCCCACATTTGAAACCTTTCCATCTGTATGAGACCTGACAAAGTTCATGCCCTGAAGGTTACCTTTTGAAAGATCAGGGTCATCTCCATAGCACAAGGAGCCATTATAGGAGGACTCAAATGAAACCATTGCATTATATTGACAAATTAAATTTTTTAGACCCTAATCCATACAGATGTCCTTGACTCAGACTCTTTTTTGAACCAATGTAAGTGACTTATAATGTGGCTTTTCAAAAGGTTAATCTAAAAATATATAATTTATCATGGCTCCTCTCCCTTAAAAGGCTGCCTGCCTATGGCTTGGTCAGTACAGAGAGGAGATTAGGGTGCCCCTAGAGGTCAAATGTAACAGTGCCTGGAACCTAGAGAGAGTTGGTGGAGCTGAGAGTGAGAGGAATAGATAGCTGGCTTGGGTGTTGTGTCCTCAGAGATTTTTTTAAATGAATTTTTTCTAGAAAACACATTTCAAAATTCGAATCCAACTTTGCTCACAATATCTTAGGCCCCAGGTTTCCAACCTGCAAAGTGAATTCAGGCACTGCCCCTTGCCACAGAAAAAGAATGGAATGGAGGGTAGGGGGTCTATGAGGGGATGAGGAAACTCCCTGGGGAAGACAGGACAGTGCATTTGATTTTTATGGTGCTTGAGCCTCTGACTGGTTTTGTAGTTGAAGCTAGAGAGGGGCTCACATCTTGTGTCACCAAACAGAATCCGCTTTTGATAATAGCTTTTCC